AAAATTCTAGAGCAGATTATTAAACGCTCTCTCTGTGAGCACCTTGAACGGAATGAGTTAATTGGTAGTAGCCAGCATGGGTTTATCAAGAATAAGTCATGCCAGTTCAACATCCCCTTTTTTGACTGAGTTACTAAAATGGTTGACTCTGGCAATTCTGTAGATATAGTGTATCTAGATTTCAGTAAAGCATTTGACAAAGTTTCTCATGATATCCTTGAGGATAAGCTGGTTAAGTGTGGGCTGGATGGTGCAACCGTTGGATGGATTCATGGTTGGTTGAAAAATCGTACCCAACGAGTGCTTGTAAATGGCTCTGCATCTATGCGGAGGGAAGTCTCGAGTGGAGTGCCACAGGGCTTGGTCCTAGGCCCAGTGTTGTTCAATGTTTTTATAAATGACCTGGAGGAAGACATAGAGGGGATGCTTATCAAATTTGCAGATGACACGAAGCTGGGTGGGATTGCTAATTCTTAAGAAGACAGAGTTAGGATTCAAAATTATCTAGATAGGCTGGAACAGTGGGCGGAGACAAATAAAATGAATTTCAATAGAGATAAGTGCAAAGTCGTGCACTTAGGAACAAAAAGATCAAAGGCACAGATATAGAATGGGAGGGACTTGGCTTGACAGCAGCACATGTGAAAGGGATCTAGGTGTTCTGGTTGATCACAAGCGAAACATGAGCCTGCAGTGCAATGTGACTGTGAAGAAAGCTAATGCAATTTTAGGATGCATTAACAGAAGCATTGCATCCAGATTGCGGGAGGTGGTAGTTCCGCTCTATTATGGTCAGGCCTCACCTGGAGTACTGTGTCCAGTTTTGGGCACCACATTTTAGGAAGAATGTTGACAAGCTCAAGTATGTCCAGAAGAGGGCAACCAGAATGGTGAGAGGGTTGGAATCCAAGTCTTATGAGGAAAGGCTGAAAGAGTTGGGTATGTTTAGCCTGGGAAAGAGAAGGCTTAGAGGGGACATGATTGCAGTCTTCAAGTATTTGAAGGGCTGTCATGTAGAAGATGGAGCAGATCTATTCTCTCTTGCTCCACAAGATTAGATTGAATGGGTGGAAATACAAGGGAGTTATTACCGGCTAAATATCAGGAGAAACTTCCTAACTGTAAGAGTGGTTGAGCAGTGGAACAGACTGCCTCAGGAGGTGGTGGATGCTCCTCCGCTGGACGTTTTCAAGCGGAGGCTGGATGACCATCTTTTGGGTATGTTGTAGGGCTATCTTTCGGCTATGCTCCTGCAGAGTGTAGGGGGTTGGACTAGATGACCTGCAAGATCCCTTCCAATCCTAATATTCTATTATTCTAAAACCTATTGTCATTTTTATAGTGTGAATCAAAGAACAATCACAAGGTTTCAGCTTATATGAAAGAAACAGCAAAATGCAGTTACTACAACAATAACTAGGTTCCAACTTGTAATAAATTGTGATATGTTTAAGCTATGATATGCTGACGAGCACCTAGGTTTCAACTTGTTTTGTATGTAATTTTCCTCAGAAGACATTCAGCTCTGAAGACGGTTTCCAGAGAAATTTTTGCCACCATTGTCAGAGTCGGAAGGCTTTTGTTCCTCATTAAGAGAATTCAGAGACTGGTTCATTTCCCATATGAATTTGGCATTTTGAGACTTTAGTTCCAGACAACTCTATGGAAGAAATCATATTGAAAACACCTTCAGAGTTGACTTTTAAAAAAAATAACCCATTTTTTTAAATCACCCTTTACATGTTATAAAACCTGGAAACAGATTGGAGTTAACTATCTTCTACTGTGACCTACACGCTTATGTATTTTAAACCCCTCAGTTTACATACAAGAATTTAACACTTAGATAAATGAAGTCTATCAGAGGTTACTTGAATGGAAAAGTACCGATAAAATGAAAAGAATACAGCATCCTAGTTTACTTTTGTGTGTGTTAATTATATGACATAAATATCTCCTTTCCCCCACCTCTTCCTTGTCTTCAGCTTCCTGTCCCCTGCTTGCCATCATGCCACACCAACTCCAGATCCCCCCTCCCCACCTATCCACTTTGACTTCCCCTTTTCTCTATAATTTACACAGTATCTTCTCACCTACTGCCCACCATTGTTCCCTCTAAGCTGAGTTAGTGTGAGCTAGCTTGCAGTTTTCTAGCCTCCAGCTCACACGTTTTTGCCTTGGCTCAGGAAGGGACAGCTCCAGAGCAAACTAACTTATGGAGTACCCAATTCACTCGCTCACAACTTTAGTGCCAGTAGCTCACAAAGTAGAATTTTTGCCCACAAGACTCCACAGCTTAGAGGGAGCTTTGCTGCCCACTCACTTGCTTACTTGGGATTCACTGCTTGAAACTGACACCCTTGTCTGCCTGCTTCACTTTTTCTCCACACTTCTACCTGGTCTGCCAGGCACTACTCCATCTTCGCTGGCACAAAGGAGCAGGGGGCACAGGGAAACAAGTTACAGCGGGCAGGTATGGAAGTCAAGCTGAAACAGACTTCTCCTCCTCAGCTGCTCCAGATGGCTATCATTTTCAGTTTCTCGAATACAGACATCACAATCAACACAGGGTGGAGTGGATAGACATCAGACAAGGAACCTGGGAGATCTGGGTTTGAATCCCTATTTCCCAGTTCTCCCTTGAAAAGTCACTGGATGACTTTGGTCCCATCCACCACAAACTCTCAGCCTGGTCTACCTCACAGGATTGTTGATCTGACAGAATGGAGGAGGGGAGGATGATATTCTAAGCTGCTCTGGGTTCTGAAATGGAAGAAAAGTGGGATATAGTGAGATAAGAATCCTATATCCCTGTTTGAGGAGTGGCAGTCCTCAAAGAACCTTCAACAGGAGATTACAAGGTGAGATTGTGGAATCTGAGGTCATTCATAAATTCAGAACAATGAACCCCCAGGCCTGAACAGGGACAGGATTCTTATCTTACTACAGATGCTAATTTTCTGCTCTCAAGCATTTCCCCTCTGCTCTGATCAAGTGAATTGCTATGCACACTGTCCCTTTGCATCCTGAGTTCCTTATTTGCAACACCCCTCCCACCTTTTGACACCTTGCCTCTGAAATTTCCATTCCAACTCATATCTGACAACGAAAGTGTTGACTCTTGAAAGCTCATGCCTCCAAACTCTTGTTGGTCTCTAAGGTGCTACTGGACTCAGTTCTAGAAAGCAATGCAACAGTACTGTACCTGCCTCCCCCTAGAGACCTCTCCCTCTATTTAACAAGACTGCTCTTCCCAGAATATTCCTGCCTCTTCATATGCATCCTAGATTCTTGTTTCTCGGTCCCACTAGAGTATGTGGGCATGTTTGTGTATGTGTTTCTCTTTTTAATCAAATTAAACTGAAGACTAACATAGCTACCCCTTCGGAAGCATTTAAGTCATTTGCTTTAAATGTTAAGTCCCTAGATTTATGGTGTAGGCTGAGATACAGACATAAATATAGCCATTGATACACATATCATAATTCATGACAACCCACCAGTAGATGTGCTGGCACATGGTGCAGCCTTTTCCCCGACAACGGAAGACCAGGGCTGCTAGAACCCTGCTCTTGACTTGAACGGCTGGTTCCACTCATACTAGTACAAATAATAAATAACAGCTGTTGAACTGTGCCCTCCTCCTCCATTCTGCATTTGCATTTACCAAATAAATGCTTGTGCCCTAAATGTTTCTAAATCCCAGAAGGGATGGGGAGAGTGGGAAGCAAAGCTGTTAACTGTGATACCGCTTGAACCACCTTGGAGACCATCACTGCAAGACGACTGCCTCTCCTCCCCACAGCCTCCCTCTCTTTGGCACGCAGGCACACACACACACACACACACACACACACACACACACACACACCATTATTAAGGCTAAGGTAGGTATAATCCTTTGCAGTAGGCTCTCCTGCCCCTTATGTAGTGCGGATTCCTTCACAATGAGTCAAGGAATGAAACACCTCTGAAGAAACCAAAATATGAAGTGCAGCTTAATTATGGGCAGAGAAACAGGAAAGAAAACTCAGCTGGAAAGCTGTGAGGGAGGCGCCCCCCACCCTTCCCCTAAACATCTTTTTTGGCCTTCTGTTTTGAATTCCCCCCCACCCCCATTGACAGCATTTTTTAAAAAAACAAAACATAACCAGAGAGAGATCTCGCTCATAATCGTCTGAACGATCTGGGCTGTGGCAAGGGGCACCGAGCTCGCAGCCCTCCGATCCCTCCAGCCAAGGCGCCCTTCTTGGATGACCCATCGATCGGTGACCAAAGAGCAGAGACCTTTCTCAACAGAACTTTGCCACTCAGGGACTGGCACCTGGGCGCCAGTGGTCTTGCCAGACTCTACCAAAAGCATTGTGGGGAAGGATTTCGGGGGGGGGAGGGGGTGTCAGCACATGGTGAAGGAGGGGAAATGCAAAAAAAGAGAGAGAGCGAAAGAAAGAAAGAAAGCAAGCGGGAGAGCTGTGGTGAGATATAACAATGAAAGGAAAATGAGCTTGATGGAAGAGTACTCGGTATGTGAGGGGGGAGAGAGACGGTGCGTGTGTGCATGTGTGAGTGAGCGAGAGGAGGGGAGCTGTGGATGAGAAAGGGTTTCTCTCTCTCTCTCTTTCTCTCTCTCTCAGAGCTCAGTTAATCCTGCTGTCAGTTGGTGTTAAGGCAGCGAACTAAGCGCTGGATTCCAAGGGAAAGAGACACACATACACAGCACAATAGACGGAAGAGAGGACGCCCCCAAAGCAACAAACCAGCCGAGAGGAAAATACCAAAAATCTATGCTTGGACCTGGGCTTCTTTCTCGCCAATGCAAAAGGGAATATGCAGCACATTTTTGCCTTCTTCTGCACCAGTTTCCTAGGGGCAGTGTTGGGGGTCAATTTCCCCAGCAACATCCAGATAGGTGAGTGCCGAGCGCCTTCCTTCCTCTTAGCAGAGCCTTTCCCCGGAGGGCACCCGGGTGCGTGTGCGACGGTCTCGTCGAACCCCAGTCCCTCGCCTCCACTCGCCAAGAAAGGCTATGGAGGTGGCAGGATGCGTGGCGTGGACTCGCGGTGTCCGGGGGACAGGGGGATGTTTCTCTTGCTCCTTGGGGCGGTGGGGGGGCCGGCGGGGGGGGGGGAGAAAAGAACTGCCCGCACTCCGAGTGCTTCTGAAATGGAGGGAGCCAAAATTGCTCTTCCTGGGAGATACCTTGAGGTGGGACTCGTGGCTTCGTTTGGAGGGGGCTTCCAGTGAAAGACACGTTGCCTTTCTTTCCCGGAATGGTCTCTCATGTCTGCAGGTGGAGATACCTGACAGGGAAAGCGGTTCCCTCGCGCCTTTGTTGTTGCTGTTAAACAAAAGCAGAGCGATGCCAGGCAAGACGGAGCCGCCAGTCTCTTGCCGTGCCACATCCCCTTGCTTCCCTGCCATTTCCTTCGCATTAGCCTTCTTCCCTCATCAATTCGCGCCCCTCCCATGGCTTTCCCCCGTACATAACGGATAATATTTGCTTTTCAGTCCTGCATTTCCCCTCTCTCCTCCGCCTGACTCCTGTCTTTTTGCAATCAGTGCCAGTCGCTGGCTCGTCATCCGTGGAGTAAACGCAACTCCGGGGCTAGCCCCACTTGCAGGATCGACGCTTTTATTGCAGTTTACATTCCCTCGCTTGTGTCCTCCTTTTCTAGATTTCTTCCGCACCTCGCCACGAAACTAAAGGGAAACGGGTAAATAAGCAGACTGCCATTTCTTGTGCCTTCCTTGGCAACAACGGATGCCTATATGTGATTATCCCCCCCCCCCGCGCGCCCTTTTTGGTGCACAATCTCTTCTCTAGAGCAGCAAGGTTATGCACACTGTTGAACGCGAAGGAAGTAGTCTGCCTAGCACTAAACTACTCTTAATGTTATTGCTTTCTTCCCTGCTTGGAACAGGAAATAATAATAATAATAATAATAATAGCTGGTAACTAGTGGGAGATGGGTGAGGCAGGGACTTACGGGGGGGGTGGTGGTGGTGGCGGTGGTCAATCTCAAATTGAATTCAAAGGTATAGCTCCATTGGGCAACTCCTGACGTCTTGATTGTCTTGCTGCACTATTTTTTTAAAAAGTCCAGTAATTACACCGATCTAGTAAGCACCCCCCAGAGGTCAGCTTTCTGGGTGGCCTTCACATCATCTGAACAGAATTCTTGAACTGGATATGCCTTGCTGACAAAGTGAACCTATCTATGCAATTAGTCTGGTCATTCCTCTCTACCAGTGTCTAAAGCCAGGTGTAGCTTGAACAATTACACATTTCTTTCCTTTGTTCATCACCTTGTAGTTGGACAACAACTTGTTGAGTAAACATCTGACTGGTGTGGGAAAATGTGGCAGAGCCTGATCTTGTATAAAGGACAAGAAAATGCTAATCTCCCTTAGGTAGATTTTTTAAAAAATTGCCAGTATCTTTCTCTTATATCTTTAACCCATAAAGTCCTGTCAGGAAGTGAGGACCACAGCGAATGATCCCAGTTCTGCATAGGTACAGTCCACTCTTCATTTATGATTACAGTAAGATGAACTGATGATCTGGTGTTGTGCATTATATAATAATCACACTGCACAGAATATCAAAACCAGTTTCATATGTTTCATTCCTCACTTCTGATGAAGAAGGTGCTAGTCCATGAAAAATGATGTTACAATGTATTAATTAGTCTTTAAGGTGATAAAGGACCATGTCTTATTTTTGCTGCAACAGACCAATGCTACGACAAACCTTCTGGGAAAGTTTCTGAGAAGTTTGGGGTACTAAGGTAGAAGGTTCCATTGTGCCAAAGAAGAGTTACCTTTTACCTGTGAAATTTAAAATTTGCAGTCCCCCCACCAATCACCTTTCTTTCTTTCCTTCTTTCTCCAGGGGGATTATTTCCTACTCAACAATCCCAGGAACATGCGGCTTTTATGTCTGCACTGTCTCAGTTCACAGAGCCCCCCAAGCTGTCTCCCCAGATTGACATTGTGAATATTAGTGACAGCTTTGAAATGACCTACACCTGTAAGTAAGACCTATCTACAGGCCAACTTTTGCCTCTCTTTGCTCTTTCTTCTTCCTTTCTACTGCTTGATTATCCATCTGAAATGTGGAACTCATATAGTGGTTGATGCTTAAATTAAAACTCTCCATCAAGATCTGGGTACTAGTAAGACTTTATATGAGTCTCCCCTCACCCCTAAGTTTCTATGGTTTCTTTTTCTGAAGGTTTGGTTAACTGGGAATTTCCCCCCCCTCACTGCAGTGTTTTTACCACCCTTTTCCCCAATATTTCCTCTCATAGTTTTGGGGTTTTGTAGCATGTGGTTTTATCATAAAGCAACTGTGTGACAATTACAGAGCCGAAAAGGAAAGGGGATGAATTAATTATTCTGTGTATTTTGATAGCCATGCAACAATGTTTGTTTAAAAACCCACAAAAACTAAGTAACTAAACATTATCTGAGTGACCAGAAGTGCATAAAACGCAAGATCTAAAGCTAGAGATGTAATCAATAATGAAAGCAAGATGGGAGGTCTGCTCCAACATGGTTATTCTTAAACTTTTATTTGGAAAAATTAAAGTGTTTCTGAGAATTAAAATGTACTTACAAGCCCTTTTATAGAAGGTTTTGAATAGAACATTATTCCCGAAATCAGCATGGTACTTAGCTTTCATATGATTCTGACAGAGTGGAAACCAAAGTAATGCTTAGCTTTGTAATATCAAGATTATGAGCCATGAAGAGTATGGGAGAAATTAAAAATTCTGCGGTCAAAAATGAGAAAATGGTGTCCTATTTTGGTCTTTGTGAATATATGCTGCCATCACAGGGTTGATTTGATATCATAGGGTTGTTATAGCTCAGTTCCAGTAGACATGTGGAAACCATTAATTGAACTTGGATCTTTGGAGGCTAGATGTTGATCACAAACACTAGTCTCAAAGTGGGACTGTTTCCACTTATTTTGCCACTTTGTCCCTGATATATACTCCTCCATTCTCATGATTCATAGAGGAGAATCACTGTTATGTATACAGATTTCTTTCTGTATGTTATGGCATATTTTTAGTAAAAGACAAAAAAAAGGCATTTTCATTCTGTGAATCCTGTTAAAAGGTTACTGCTGCAATATCCAAATGGATTCAAATTGTGCTTATAACAGAGAACAGAACACAAGAAACTCAAAGGAGTATGACTTTAAGTCATAAGACAAATCAGAAATGAACATCTTTGACAGATACAATTGCATTGCAGTTTTCTGACAAGGAGAGGGAAAGATTTGACTTGCTGGATGCAAGGCGAATATATGGCAGAGTCAAAACCAGACAAATCCTACAGGAATATTATGTTATTGTAAAGACTGGGGAAATTGGTTATTTCCTGCAAAATCAGAGCTCTTAAGAGGATACTCTGTCTGAGAACAAGTTTCTGAATAAGTGAAGCTAATTATTGTTGATTTTCTGAGCTTTACTAATTTGTGGCAAGGTAAGTAATGACAGCATCGTGAGCAGATCAGAAGGTCAGATGGTGTTATTGTACAAAGTGGTTGATTTGGTTTGATAGGCCCAGGGCTTCCCAGCTCTGTGATTTTATAATTCTATGTCCCTAATTATGCTGCAGTAATCAACACAGAACTGCTATTGTGCTCACAATGATAAATCAAAAGCAAAACATCTCCCCTTCCCTCTCAGATGTAATGGAAAACTATTTTGACTAGTTTCACATTATAGTAGGTTTTATCTAGAACACTTTATCCTAGATGATCCATTAGAGTCCGTTCACACCATTCAACTGCAATTATTCTCTCTTTTTTCTTAAATCAAGAGCTTTCAGCATTTTGTTCTCTATAAGTATCAAATGAAGAGTTTTACTTGTAGGCAATGTGGGGTTTCCCCTCTTCTCCTTCCCTTTAATGTTTCACCAATAAAACACATCATCGAGGGACCACTGTTGTCTCTCTCACAATCAATCTAGAACTCTGTACTAAGCGAAACCTCTGTCTCCATTATACTCCCTTTCTATACTTCAATCATTGGGGAAACTGACATACATTTCCTTTTTTGCTAAGTGAGCTCTGATTGCTTTGGTGAGCTATTTCTTTCAAACTGTAATGTCAATATTATGTCCGAACAAACATGGTTCATTCATAGTAATGTAGAACATGTTCCTGATTTTTCTTGTACCATGAATTACCTTTATCCTCAAGGCCAATGATTTTTGTTTTCCAATTATAAATAAAGCAAAGAGCACTTGTATTAGGAACAATTGCATGAAGTCTCATGATGGGTATTACAAGGGAAGCATAGGGGTTCCCAACCCTGGATTTCTCTCTTAACATTATTACAGGAGCTGGAGGCAAAATCAACAAGCAGAAAGTAGGGGATTGCTTAACGTTTCCTCATCCCCAGCCTGCAAATGCAGATGAGGTTTTCTTTTCCCCGTGAAGCTGGGCTTGAAAAGTAGAAAGGAGTCCAGCTGCAGACAGACAGCCCCTTGAGAGGACAATTAGCATCAGGTGAGGGGGTAGCCATTACTCCTTCTCTGAATGTGTTCCCACCTTTCTGTGGTGAACATGGGGCCATGTATGTCCTGATATAACAGCTAATTCATCTCTCAGAATTTTAAAACAACGTTCTGCAGTCAGCAACAACCTTCAAAGACTCGTGCAAGAGCCTGTTCTGGTACACTTGTTAGCAACTGAATGGCAATAAGCACTGATAATCATTGCCACAAGTGAGAAATGAAAGTTGTGAATCAGTGTGAGAACAAAAGTCCAAAATGATGTTTTCATGGATCTTCCAAGTGACTAGTGACAGTGAAATAGAACTGAAGGATGGAGATACGGAAGCAGCATGTGACAATGTGCTTTCTTTGCTCAACTATGGCAATTTCTCATGTAGTGGGAGTTTAAAAGTTTTTTTAAAAAGAAATCACAAATGTTCAATTGACAACGCTCAATGTAAAAAGGCATCCACTGCCCTTTAGCAGGTTATGATGAAACAGATATACAGTTGAAATGATAACCACAGCAAATAAATAAGTAAGTAAATAAGTGAATATAAAGTATAAAATGATACTAATGGTACATATACAGTATAATTTGATTTCCATAGTTATGAATAACCTAAAAGATCATATATAAACACAATATAAGCTTCTATTCAGCATCTACCATGAAGTTCATGGGTGACTTGGGCAGTAGCATCCTCAGTCTAACCTACAGCTCAGGGTTTTTTGTGAGGATAAAGAGGAGCAGAGGAGACCCATGTATGCTGCTATGAGTTTCTTAAAAGATGAGAGCAATAACCATGTAGTAATAAATAAATATTCAACACCCATGGATTTATATCAGTTTTAACATAGCAACTGTAGTCTAGATTTTGTTCTGTAAGCACAAGGATCAGTGTCCTGACCTGGATGGCCCAGACGGGCCTGATTTCTTCAAATCTCAGAAACTAAGCAGGGTTGGCCCTGGTTAGTATACAGATAGAAGACTACCAAGGAAGTACAGTGTCACTATGCAGAGGCAGACAATGGCAAACATTTTATCTGTCCCTCTTTTGGTGATGGTGGGGAGGGGGATTTCAGTTTTTTATCGCAGACATGAGGGATTTCTTGATACCCATTCAAGGAAACCACACCCAGATATCCTGGTGGCAGTGGCAGCATTCCATAGTGAATTCCATTTCCATCACAGTTCTAAACTGATGCAGCTTCAGCACCTTTGGCATTCTATGGCATATCAGCTGAGATGTCACCCTGTTACCAGTCAGATTCAAATAGTGAGACTCTCATTGAGGGAAAATACGTGTCATATAAAATAGTGATAATGCTTCCTACATCCTTCCCCACATAGCCAAATCTTACTTGGTGTGTGTGACAACATCACTATTGCTAGGACTGGGGGAGGGGGGGCTTATAAAAGGGTGCCAGCACAGCAGCAGTTGATCAGACTTGTGAACTTCAGCAAACAGACAGGAACATGGTAACATTTGGGCCCAGATCAGGCACATTAGTAGTACGAGGAAGGATTTTGCTTTTCCTTGTAGTGTGTGGATTGTTTGGCCATCTGTAACTAAAACACACAGCAAGTATGGTAGCCCTCTAAAAAATGTTTCAAGACTTATTGAAAACTTTTTACTTCTGTGAAATTCCTCAGATGTTTGCCACATGGTGGGGGGGGACCCCAAATTTGCTTTGATATTTCACTTGAAGCAAATTTACTGGCAACTCTAGTCTCAATGCCTCAAATGCAGTGCATCTGCTATTTGCTTAAGCAATACCAGGGTCTGACCTGTATAGACCATTGAGATTAGTAAATGGACCATCTTTCTTTTACACAAGGCATTAGGTCTCTTTTGATGATTGTGTACATCCTTTTGTCAGTTTGAAATCTGGCTAGGCTGCCCATTTGCAAATGAACTAGTAATTAAAATATAACTAACATGGAAGGATTAGTGTAAGATCTTCCTTGTATTCTCTTTGTAACACATTAATGCCTTTTTCAGCTTTAAAATCACCTTGCAGATGAAAGGTGTAATAGGCATACATTAATATTTTCAATTACAATTTTAAATGAATTGCAATTAAACCATTATTCCGTGTTGAATTTAAAAATCTTCTCTGTTGATAAACGTACATTGGTCGCTATTTCTCAGGATGGCACTACTGCAATTTATTCCACTGGTAATCAATTAAAATGCAGTTTAGTAATTAAACTTCCTTGAGCTCAGTTGTACGATACTATGTAAATTTCGTGTATTATGCTTGTTTATCCCAGGAGTGCCATAAAAGCAATTGCAATCATGTTTCCATAGGCTCCAATCCTGCACAATTAAGCCATGGAAATCTATTAGATTTGGGCAACCTGTGTGCAGGGCTGCAGTCAAAGTGTACTGGATACCACATGCTGTTTAATAAAAGAAATGCCTATGGAACATGAGTTCAACCAACAGACTTCAGTATTTACAGTATTTACAATCAGGTGAAAAGTGAATCTGATAACCTCCCTTGAGATGC